ACGGACTCGAAATTTTGAATCGGGAGTTCCGTCATACATTGTATTACATTTGATAGCACCAAACTGACCTCTATCAAACGTAATAAATTTTGTAATAAATGTGCTATTTTTTTGGTCTGTCTGTATGTCAAAAGTAGCACATCTATAATATCGGGAATCACCCACTGAGTTCGTACTGTACTACAGTATTAGTTGATGGTATCCCAGATCGCAGCGTATGAAATGAAGTACGAGTACGGTACGTACTCGTACGTACTATGAGACTATGAGACTAACCGTGGTGAACGAAGCGAAGCGCTGAACAGAAAACAGAACGCCTTTCACCTTTCACTCTACTGCTGTAGTTTGTACCTACGGTACCAGGGTACGTGCAACGTAACGAGTGTTCAACTGTAGTCTAAAAAATACTACTAGTTGAAATAACTTCCCGTAGACCCCTCCTCAGGATTGTCGATGAGATCTTCTGGCGAATGATGTTGTTTTCTTTTTTCTTCCTCACGGTACGGTACGTACGATTACCGTACGGTAGTGGTACTCCTACTCGTCCTTTGATCGAGCTTGCTTGATGTGTTTGCATGGGCGATGCGTGACAAGGCGTCTTTCTTTCAATCTTCTGAGTTCGAGTCAAACCCAAGCAAACACACAACAACTAACCAACCAGACAACATCACGTCGTCGTCTCTTCCGCATTGGGTTTTCTTTGATCATTTGCACTGGATCGATTATACTTCAATCTCGAAACGAAGTGGCGACATTCTCTTTTATTAAGCTGCCCCTAGCGCGACACATTGTAGCAAGAATATGCTAGCGAGCAGTGCCAATAGTCGTCTTCCAGCGGCTGCGGGGACGGCCCGTCAGGTTTATGCATGGGGGGGCTTGCTGAAACAGAAACGCACCTCGTCAAAGGCGATGGGGACAGTAATGTCGGCAAAAAAACAGCATCGCCGAGTGAATGCGGGAGGTGTTGTTCACAATGAGTTTCGTAGCTGCAGCAACGACAACAAAGGATTCTATAACTTGAACAACGGGATGGCGATCCGGCGGGAATCCTTTCGAATGATGACGACCAACTCTGGTGACGAAAGTAAGGAGTCCAAGACTCGAATTGCGACCGTTCGGCTGTATCGCATGCTACGGCGCTCGTGTAAAGGCCTTGCTCCAACAGACCAAGGCACCATTTTGATTCAAAATGAAATACTCGCTTCCGATTGGGGAAAGCATAGCTTTCGCGACAACGATATCATGGACAATGACAGCGGTGACGAAGTAGATACTTTAGTGACTGAAAACCAGACAAATGAATTGATTAGGCTGTTTTTGCGCTGGAATGGTATCGATCCCGATGCGGGATTTTCAAAAGTAAACGAATGGTACGACGAGCTAATGAGCGGGGCTCGGTTCCGAGACGCTAAGAACACCGAGGTCGGAGCCTGCTGGACGACCCCTCACCAACTGCGGGAGACCGTTCGCTTCGCCTTCCTCTCGTCTTCGAAACTCTCCACCCAAACCCCGACAGAACTACAGGGATTGGCGGTTCGTGCCATCCAGATGATGCAGGAGCAAAACACGCTCTGGAAAAAATCGTCCGTATCCACGACCCTCGATGGATTAGTGCGGGTGACGGCCACCAGTCGGTGTCTCGGAACGGTATCGCCGGTGTCCTTTGCCGCTCCGTCCTCCCCGCTCGACCCTAAATACCGATTTGCCTATCGCATCCGAGTGGAGAACATCTCCCCCGAAACGACGGTTCAATTGCTTGGACGATACTGGCACATAACCGAGGAAGGTGACGGTAGTGACGAGGAGTCCCTCGAACCCATTGAGGTCGACGCTCCCTACACGGGTGCAGTGGGGCAGCTTCCCGTGCTCCGACCCGGGCAGGCTTTCGAATACGTCAGTGGAACCGATCTGGCCACCCCGGTTGGAACAATGAAGGGACATTTTTACATGGCGACGGTTCCGGAGAAAACGAAGTCGGCCAAATCGGGAGACGACGTGGTGGCCGTATCGTACCAAGGGTCAAAGGGCTCATGTGGCACTTCCTCCTCTTCTTCAAAAGAATCAGGAACTGGTGGCAACGATACAAGGTTGTTTCATGCGGCCGTTAAACCCTTTCGGCTCGAATCTTTTGAAAAGTAACAGATTATGGAAAATCGAGACAATCCACGGCGATGTGAGCATTTTTTCAATCTTTTCTTTCGGTAACAGAAGTATCTATGTTTGTTACAAATATTTCTTTTGGCAAGTGCGTATCATTGATGCTTCAAACGAAGGGGTCGGTCGGTGTCAACGATACGAAAGACTACATTTTGTTCGCCTACCACTGGTGCTGACAAATTAAACGGATGACATTCCGTGTTGATATACCTAAAGCATTAAGACGATAATGAAGAAAAAACTAGTCACGCTTTCTTGCTTCGTCTTTTGATTTAAAAAATATTGGTATGATGAGAATAACGACTAGCTTTTAAAGGGTTTACTATCAGGTATTCAATTTCGATCTAAAAAGGCTATTTAATTTGCTTGTTCGACCTTCACTAGGTCCGGCACTKGTAGCACGGAACCCTTTCCTCTCCATCTGTAAAGCTTTGAGAACATGATACTTATAGGAAAGCGCATACAACGACAGCACTGATCATTGAAATGAAAAGAGAAATCGAGAAAGAAGCACTGGTAGGTTCCGTAGTCTCTGCGGTCGCTTCGGGAGCAGCTGCTCCCTCTGTCTGAGATGGTTCTGGGGTTTCGGGTGCAGGTGGTTCTGGGGTTTCCGGTGCAGGTGGTTCTGGGGTTTCGGGTGCAGGTGGTTCTGGGGCTTCGGTGGCAGGTGGTTCTGGGGCTTCGGTGACAGGTGGTTCTGGGGCTTCGGTGGCAGGTGGTTCTGGGACCGGGGTAACCTCGTCCTCAGAGGGCGGTTCGGGGGGAGTAGGTGGTGCCGGAGGTTCCGCGGCAGGATCGAACAAGACCAATCCAGGAACATCCTTGATCAGCGGGTCGTCATTTTCGGGCCACAAATAGGGCAGAGCGGGCTGGGCATCGCCGTCCTCGGACTCCATTACCGACCATGCGATGGAGGTAGGAGGGTTTGCGGGATAATTACCACGGTCGTCCCATTCTGGGCCGCAGACCTCGGGGTTGATCTTGTTCGCAACGAATTGCATGACTGCCGACAAGGCAAGGTGGGGGTGGCGGTACTGTCCTGCGTTGGGACCTTCGAAAATGTAAGGGCAGTAATCGACCTGGGGAGAAACGAGATACAGATATGTGTTGAGTTATCGTGCGATTGCACCAATCGAGGAACACCATGCATCCCTAACCAACGCAAGGACACACACAGAAATGACTTACCCATTGTCCAGTTGCGAGGAATTCGTCCGTACACCAGTGGGGAGGTCCTTGTGGGCTGGGGAATTCGAGTTCGTAGTATTCATATTCTCCTTCAATGACTGGAGGAGGGTAATCGACAGCACCAGTTTCAGGGTCACGAGGGTACTTGGTTCGAATCATTGACGCAAGAACAGATGGTTTGATGTCGCAAGGAGCCGTTTCGGATTCGAAATCAAACCAATTCTCAATGTCTGCATCGTTCTCGCAATCAAGAAGATTGTTGCGCACAACTGCGAGGGCAATGGGAGGTGGGACATGTCCGATGCCATATGGGCCATCATCATTATCGGTGATGATCTTAGGGCATGACTGAACCGGGGTGAGTGGATCTGTGCCTTCGGGGCAGTGGTGTGGAGATCCAGCTCCGGGTTGTCCTTTCGTATTGAGAAAGCGAACAATAAATCAACATTAGTATCATCCACATGCTCTTACGAGGATTAACGCATCAAGAGTCATTAAGAGACATCCTATGATCCAGGAACGAATGGGAGCATGCGATTAGGGGCGAAACATATGTATCATCAGACTCACCTTTAAATGCGGCAGCAAATTCAAATGGGTATCTGGTATCGATAGGAGTTGGGTATCCACCGAGGGCGGGATCAAGACCGTTCCATCTCTTGGTAAGATAATTCGGATTCCACTTGCCCCCGCCTTCTACTCTTTTGCCCTTTTTGTCGACGTTCCAGGTTGGGAATGCAAGCTCCATGACTTCGGTGATCTCGGGGAGAACAATCGTACAGTTTTGTGCTGTGATAGCCGGCATGGTCCCGGCTGCCAATGCAGCAAGTAACAACTTTGTCGCAACGCCAAACTTCATTTTGGTATTTTTTTAACTTGTGTTATGAAAAATATGACTGAACTTACTGGAAAGAGAAAAAACCGACTGCCTCGCTAACATACCTTCAAGCGAAGGGTACCGGTACTCGTAGTACGGGTACCAGCAGTCAAACAAAATCAAATTGATTGATATTGAAGAAGCGAGCGATCATCGGAGGAAAAAAATGTGGAAGATTTCGTTTTCCGACAGACACTCTCAAGTAAGTCCGTGTTCTTTGGCTTGTTTCAGTCATACCGTTACGACCGTTAAGATTGTACACTCATGTATGTTCAGCTTCCTTAGAATCCACAGAAGAAACATCTGGGGGACATACGTACCTCTCTAATACTGCCCATATGCTACAGTACAGATAGGAATCTCATGAAGAACCCACCGACGAATAATAATTTATAAAGTCGTTCTATTTTGATTGGCTGAAAGATAGCTAGAGTAGAAGTGCGTAGCGTACGCTCAGTACTTTCCATGAATGCGAACCTTCGCTTTGACAATTAATGGGTCATTCCGTTAATCTAGACGATCTGTTGTACTTTACGTTCCGTGAATTCGCAGCTCATACCGTATGGTTATGATAAGCTGGAAAGTTTCCGATTACGCGTTTATTGTTGTACGCGTGACTGGAGGACAGAGCAAACAGTAAGAACAAGCAAGTAACAGAAATTTAGCTACTACTTCAAAAATAGGTAGTACTGCACTAGTAGTACAACAGAAAAGGGAATATAACTACTATTTCTTTTGGGGATAAGCCAAAAAGAAAATAATTGTCGGCAGCTTAGGGGATATTTAATGGTATCAATCAATGTTAAATTTCAGTATTGATTAAAAATTTTAATAACATTAATTAATTTTCAAAACAAGAAGCAACTTTTTCAATCACACAAATTTACGCTTCAATCACCTAGATTTCCTACTGGTGGATGCTACATTCATACCTGATCAGCACCTTCTTTTTCTAGTAAGATCCAAACCACCACCATGGTGACACCCCCTTCCAAAGGGGAAATCCTCTCTGGCCTTTATTAACTTTTTATCTGTTCCATGTTGCCAAATGTTGCCACCTGGAAAATTTAGGATTTTTTCTTTGCTGCTAGCACTACTACTCTACTCTAGTACTATGTATCATATAGCATTGGTGGCCAGATGTATGCACAAGTTGTACGTTTTGGGCTACTTATTTCTGTGTAATGACTAATTTGACTAGAACGTGCAAAATGCACGTGCTCAGTACTCGTAGAAAATTTGTATTTGAATTTTTGAATCCCACCAAAATAGTTTCACTCACATGTGCATGCTGTAGCCCTAGTACAAGTGAAATTTTTAGTCCCATGAGTCATTACATGGTAATTAGATGGCCCAAAATCAATACACAGTACAAAAAACATGTAGGGCATTAAGAGAGGTCCAACTCACTCAAACAGCTATAACTTTTTCCCCAACAAACACTTAAGTATGGAAAGCACATGGCTAAAAAGGGAATTCAAAGAGCTTTCGAATGCGGTGGGGGAGTACAGCGTCCGATAAGTATTGATTGATATACATGTATGTATATTGAGCATTCCTAATGTATGACTCAGTTGGCAGGAATAACTCTGCCAACGCTATACGATAACAACATTCCTCTCATCACTATAAACAATAGTAATAAAAAGAAATTGTTTTAAAAAATATAAATATATATAATTATTCACTTATAACATATCACTACACCTGATGGTTGAAGTTATGCCAATGCTCAATACATACAGTAACATTGCAACTGCTGCAGCCATTCCTTGACATTTGTGTACTTCTAATCCCCCTGGCAACTTCCTCAATCTCCTCACTGATGAGTTAATAGGATACCTATGCTTTGCTTCTTCTACATAGACAACACAATAGTTCCTCTTCAACCTTTCATACCTTCCACTACATTTTTCATTGTGTGGCTTTGAAGTTACCTTTCCATGAGCAATGGTCGTGCTTGTAATTTTGTTCACACAGAAGAAACAAATCCCTTAATCAAAAGGGTGATATTTTCTATTCTTTGAAGTCTTTGGCATCCACTCTGGCTTAAAACCTTCATCATATGAGCTTTCAAGTCCATTTCAATACCTCTATTCATCTATGCAATGCTAAGATGAGATTGAAACTTTTTCCTACCATTGTGTTTTGATTTGCATAGTACTATATTCATTTCCTTCATAGACTTGTTGTCACATGCAACAAGGCTATTTGTTGCAAATATGCAGTAGGAGTGTACCACTCTATCAAGCAACTAGGAGAAAATACAAAGGTACCATTTGATGTTTGTTTGAAGTTATGTAGAATAATTTGCACATTTTATAAAGTCAAGTGGCAATAATTGTTGGTTGTAGTAACTGACATACTAGTAGCTGCCTCAGGAAGTTAGTAGGAGTTTCAGGCAAGATTTCATCTGAACACCCAAAGAACTTTTACAGAGTATCCAGACTGAATTATATTGTTGACCATTAGAGTTGGTCTTGAACTCACAGTCATAAAGACATGATGCATTAAAAATCACAATATTTTGGCGGTTCTGCTGCTTACAACAGGAGCAAAGGTTCTATTGATCTGTGCAACAGTCAGTTCATTGATAGGAGGACTAGTACATCATTTTGAAGTGAAGCAATATTTTCTGAAAGAGTCCAATGAAGTGGGAATTGATAATTAGATGGATGCTGACACCAAAGTTACAGTTGATACTGTCTTGCAACTAGTAGTAGTAATAATTTGATTGGACATCAGTTTGAAACAAAGTTCAAAACTTAATTGTAGTTATTAACTTTCACCCAAGGAGACTGCTAGTAGAGTGTATTCAAATCCTGAGCAACCACCATGATACTCATATGGGTTGCACTTTCTTTTCTTATGAAGGATAATTTAAGATGACCCAAAATCAGAAGAACAAAGAATAAATCATCATAGAGACTTGGCAACTTGAAAAAGACAACCCAGTTTTACATTATCAATGCTGTATATACCTACATATATATCAATGAATACTTTTTTTACCCCCCCACTCCTCCATATGACTAGAATTCTGTTTTAATTTGCTTTGAATTCATGTGCCTACCATACTTGAACATCCATTGGGGACCAAGTGCTGTCTGTAGGATATCAGATCATGGGTATGATTCATATCTAAAACACATACATATCACACATATCTATGATTCATACACACTCTACATTTATGACTCACTTGATCCTATGGATCCACAGGAGCGACTTGACTCATTTGATTTACTTGCGTGACTGCCTTGACTCATTTGATTCACACATCACTTGATCTTCATTCTGATTGCTGGTCTTAGATTTCATAGTTTGTTGATTCTCAATAAGAGCATCATTAACTCACTTTTCTCCTGACTTGTGGGGTTGAAAATTTGACTTGCACTACTACCACTACAGCAGGGCATATGCTCAAATTTTATTCCCACCAGTCTTCCAACCAAATTGTTTCCTGTGCATGTGCTCTTGCTGCACCAGAAGTAGCAATAATTCAGTTTTTTAGTCAAAGTGGTCACTACATGCAAAATAAGGGCCCAAAAGCTCCGACTTGTGTGTAGATTTTGTAGCCAGCAAGCCTTTACAATAAAATTGAAACAGAAGTAAACAAAAGTGCAATTTTATCAACAGAAAGTTATATTAGGGATTAATGAAATGACTCAAGTAGTAGAAAACTCACCAACTGCTAGAACAACAATTACTCTTCTTTATACCTACCGCCTTGGGTTCTTCAAACATATATCCTGTCATGGTGTATAGCAGGACTTACTAGGGCTCAGTACTATTAAATTCAAAGAAGAAACAGCTTGTCTGGTCCACTATGAGTGCAATTATTCTATTTTTGTGGGTCCTGAAATTGTACCCCTCACCCTAGTACTCAACTGATTTGGCACTTGAATTTTAGCATTAACTGGTGTGTTGAATGTTTAGAACAAGTGCCAAAGACAAAAATCATTTGTGCATGTGATTGAAAATTATTTTGTTCACACATGGTGAAATTACACTCTGCTAGCTATAAAAATGGTAATATTGAAAATAGAAATTCTTTCAAGTACCTCTTTTGAACACAAATGACTGGTACAAGAAAGCAATCTTTACTATGGAGAAGTAAAGACTAAGAAAATTCCTTTCTTCATGTGCAAAAAGTAGCAGAATATCAAAATGATCACTGGAAAGACACTGATGGTAAAATCATATTCATATGCCAAATTTCTCCTCTGTTTGAAGTCTTGTTCCATTCCCAATCATCCTAATGATGCAACACTAATAGGGATAGCATATAAACTAATTGTATTGGATGAGATTAGTATGATGTTGCAAAAAAGTGCACTTATTTTGAGCTCCTTTCAGTAGCAAGGTGCAAAGTGGACCAGAGAAAGCAGTAAACAATTACTTTGTATTATACCTTGCGTACAGTGGATCACCATCAGCAATTTTTATTATGAGCTTTTTAATGCTGTTCTCTGATGTCACTTTTTGAAGGCGACAAAGTAGGTGGGTTCTTTTTATTCTAATTTGTCTTAGTAGGTTAAATTGGACTTGTGTTGTTATTATCCTAGCAATAAATAAAATTTACAGGCACGTGTAGGGAATATTACAGGAATATTACAAGAAAACGAATAAAGACATCCAAATTTTTGAATGTTGAGCATGCAACGATACCCAACAAAATTGTTGGCAGGAACAATTTTCTTTATCCAAACATGGTTCCAGGGCCAATACTTGTAAGATCTTGGGGAGTTAAGGCCTTCAACCCAAGCTCCTCTGATAGCTTCTTGCGAAAAGGGGAATTTGAAGATTTTGTCCACCAATCGACGAAGTCCTGAAAAGATACCCTCCCTTTTTTTGCGGTATCCATATCATGAAATGCCTCCTCCAAATCTTTCGTCGACATATTAAAGCCTAGTATCGTTGCAACTTCCTTGACTTCGTCCTCTTCTAAAAAGCCATTTTGATTGCTGTCAATTGCGGCGAAGACATCTTTAATGTTCTCGTAAACACCCGCTTTAAGTTTCTCTTGGCTGCCGTCAGATATTCTTCCCCCATACGAGCTTACGTAAATTTCCGCGGCTTCAATCTGCTTCTTCTTCACCTTCTCCGTCCATCCTAATTCTTTTGCCATAATATCGGCTATGGCAGGAATGGCTTCTATGGCTGCATCCTTATTTAGAAAGGCAAGCCTTGTCCGGCGACTTAGCACATCTTCGATGGTACATGCATATTCACGACAGGCCCATACGACATCCGCATCGATATAGGGATAGTTATCAACGAGTAATCGTCCAAATTTCGGCCAGCTCTTACCCGAGGGTTCTATCAGATCGCAAACCTCCCAAGAACGGGCACCGTATGACCTTACCATATGTTCCGCGACATCCTGCGACATGCCGTATTTTTGAATCAGCTCTATTGACAAATTTTTTGTGTAACCATCTCCACCAAAAAGTTTCGTTTCGAGTGTTTTACACCTTCCAGGGGCGTTTTCGGCAACACGATCGACCACTTCTTCAGCCATCTCCCTCCAGGTCGTCCACTTGCCACCGGCAATAAAAATAACTCCTGTTTCTGGATTTTCCGAAATTACGTGGTCTCTCGAGACTGGAGCATCCGGTGGTGCATGTGGATCTGCAGCTAGTGGCCTCCATCCTCGCCAAGCACTCAAAACATCCGAACGGCGCAGTTTCATGTCAGGAGTAAGATACTTACCACATTCATTAAGTAACCATTCAATTTCATCCTCTGGTGGCCTTGGAGATGTTTCCGCCTGTGTTCACAACGGAGAAAACAAATAGTACAATCAGACAATCGAAATAATCCAGTTCTTAAAGACGTGACAATTTCGTCTTTGTCTTCAAGCACAGATGATAAAAATTCCTGTCTACGCACCGGTCCCTTCGTATCAGTAGTCCCGACCAATGTGTGTCCCTCCCAGGGAAGCATGAAAAGGAATCTCCCATCGCTTGTATTGTAATCCAAAAGTCCCATCTAAAGCGACACAAGCGAGAAATTATGTTCAAGTTGAAGGGGTGAAAAAGAAAAAATGGAACTTTAAGAAACACATATGTGCAATTAATATGCATTCACTTTCAGATTTTTAGCCGAATCTTACCTGGTTCGAACAATAATAACCTGGCAGAACAATATGTGTTCCAGACGCCCCCCTAACAGCAGCTGGCATCTTTTCTCTCGCTTCTTCACTGTCTACTTCCATCTCTCGCATGCTGTCGGTAAAGGGACCACCTGCGAAAATTACACGCTTTGCACGGATTTCGAAAGTATTCCCTGTCATCCGATCGATGGCTTGCACGCCAATCACCTTTCCGGTGGAAGGGTCCTTGATGGTATCCATCATCTCCACGTAATTGGCAATCGCGGCTCCTTTTTCTGCTGCGGTCATTGCAATTGCGATGTTCGTGCGTGCGTCGTTGTGTTGTGCTTCATAAAATACAGCGCAATACTTCAAATCCTTATCTTCGAGTTGAGGAAAAACCTCTCTTGCTTTTTTCTTGGTCATGATAAAACTCGGTGGGCATTGAAAGTAAGAGAGCGAGTCATATATTTTCAAGACGGGTGGAGCCAAGATCGGGAAAAGTCCGAAGAGTGGATGCTTGAATGGCGGAGGGGAAACATGCCATTCAGTGAATGGCATCGCAATAGGAACCCAATTGCACAAATGCCGTTGCTGATCCATCATAAATTGACGCTCTTGATGGCAATGGAATACCATCTTCATTTCAGAATAAAAGTCTTTCACTGTCTTTAAGGGGCTGGTCACTAGTTGTCTTGACAGCAAAATGGAGGTAGCTGTAGCCATATACTTTATCCCTGCCCAAATCAATTTCGTCGATCTGGAACTCGTTTCCGATGCAAAATCTCCTCGTTCGATGCAGGCTGTTTGTAGACCTCTCATGGTAGCGTCAAGAGCAATACCCGCCCCAGTGGCACCTCCACCGATAACCAAGACGTCGAAGGATTCCCCATCGAGAGCTTTCTGGAGGCGACGAATTTGTTCGGCTCTGGAAGGGAGACCACTTGGGGCTTTCACTTCCTTTGGGTCGGAAAGGACGCTTGTGATTTCGAGGCCGGGATCGCGTCTTGCGGACGAAAACAAGGAACGGAAGGTGCGCCCGTTGTTTGTTTGTTTTCCATGAGAAGTACTGTTCTTCTGCCCTCTCCAAAAAAAGGAGCGGCTAATGTTTCCTCGGCGAACGCACGAGATGGCTTGGGATGAAGTCGTTGTCCTCGCTGACMCAGTCTTGATCAGCACTGAACCGGACAAAAACATCATCATCGCCATTGGCTTTAGTCCTCTTCAGAGTCTGACCTCCCCTCTTGTTTTCGCTAATCGTCACGAACGCGTGTAGTGACGAGTTTCGCTTCGTGACTTGTAAGGTGTAATATAGAACCCTATCGAGGGAAATCTGGTCTTTGAAATGAAACCGTATTTGTACTCTGTCTGAATTGTGATCGTTGGAGTCGTTTTCGGAAGAGACGAGTGAGATGGGAGGGGAGGGAATTGTTTGGTCTGTTCGACGGTCGAACGCGAACTTCGAACAAGATTCTTTTAGATTTGATTTTTATGATGACGATGATAGACTCGGAGTACGAACAGCACCGTAATCGATACGTTGTTTTCAGAAGCGTTCAACGCCTGATTTGATGGATTTGATGGATAACGGATAACAGGTACGATGAAGATTACGAGTACGGTACGTACTGTTATCATGCGGGTACGTACGGTTCGGTACGATAAGTAAAGTTACTCATACTCGTTCGTTGGTAGTATTGAGTTTAAGGTACGAGTACCGTAGTAAAAGAAACATGTGATCGAAGAATTCGGAATCATCTGTTGACAGCTGACACGTCAATCACATCACACACTATCCCATCGAAGAGCTGAAAGAGTCTTTTGCCTCTAGCAGTCCAGTATCGAAAGGTACGAGTAGCGTACGTACGTACGAACGGGACCGCACATCCGTTCGCAAGGGGATTTTGTTTGAGATTTGGCGTTTTCTTAGAGTTCAGGATAATCAATAAAAAAAGCCATTCAACGTATTCAAGCTAGTCAAGAAAGTACTACCTCCATTCCTAAATAATGGCGCAGTTTGCACCTCTTTGGTCAAAATTAGCTCAATATTTGTGCCATTTGACTGCTTTTTTTGGTTTAAAAGATCTATTATAGATGTATACAAGTATAGAGATCTGCAAGATCATATTAATTGAAAGTGTCTGATGTACTTCTTGTGGTATTTCTTCTTCGTCTTACTTGTTAGTACTAGTACTAACAAAGAGGGCTAATTTTTCTTATCGTCAATATGAAAATACCATCAGTTGGGTTCTACTGGTCACTAAAAGACCAGACTGGTTTCTATAGTAGAAAGCCAAGAGTGACACATTTTTGAGGCTGTAATTCTCTTCAGTATGGAGAACTTTCTTGCATTGGTCATTCTTGTTCAAAAGAGGTGCACCGTACTACCATTGTCATTTGCATTTAATTGTTGTTTCATATATTAATACTAGACTGTTTAATTTCATGTGCAAAAATAATTTTATTCACACGCATGCTCATTTATATCTACAGTACTGATTCTACGTGTTGTACACTTAAGTAAATACTGTACCATTATTTTGGAAAAAATAAAGTAGTAGGGCAAACTGCACCATTATTTAGGAACGGAGGTAGTATTCAATCTAGTCAAACAAGGAAAATGCCCTGTCCTCACCCACTAATGAAATTCTATTTTTGAATCAATTTGTTGTTCTATCTTCACTCAGAACACCTGTCATTAGCCAATCATATTGCTTGATTATTACTTCCTCCGTTCCCAATTAAATGTCCCTTTTGTGCACCTTTACTACTGAAATAAGGTCATTATTTGGGCAATTGGAATGCTTCTTTTTGCACTTGTTAACAGATCTATTATTCTGTTATCGTACAGTTGTGAAGATTGTATAAATGGAATATGTCTGATGTACTTGCTATAGCTAGTGAAAGAGACCAGATTTTATACGGTCGTAGATTTTGGAACAATATTTGGGGGGGAATGACTAGTAGTTTGACTAAAAAACTGGCTTCTTGTACTGCAGTTTACAGCCTGACATGTGCTGAATTTTTGAATCCCACAACCAGTTGTGCCACCAAATAGTTTTGCATGCACCTGCTTTTTGCTTCAACATCACGTGCTATTGCTGTACTGGTAGTACTAGTCAACTTTTAATCCCACGAGTCATTACAGTGAAAAAATGGCCCAAATTTACACACAATAGAAAATCATGTAGAGAGTTAACTAAGGAGCAACTCACTTGAACAGCAGCTATAACTTGGCCCCCAGTGGACGCTGAAGTATAATAAGCACATGAATTAAAAGCCAGTAAAAAGATGAATTCAGTGATAAGGGGGGATAGTAGGGGGTTATTGAGTAATTAATTCTACAGGTGGGTTGGGGGTGGGGTTGGGGTTGTGTGTACACATATCTATCATTAAAAAATGTACAATTAGATTGGCTATTTTTGAATCACCATGGTTATAATATATATCCATATATGAACATTGGAATATTGGAATATTTGCCTAATGGACTGCATATCCACCAAATTTTCACATATCAGTATCCATCTATGAACATTGTGCCAACTCTTGGGACCAATAAGAGCAGGATAGCATCGTCTCAATGACCAACTCAACAGTTCACACAATCTTAAGTATTGGTAACAAGTAGTAAGCAAAATAGGGAGCAGCAAATGGCGTCTAAAGAGTAGCAAATACTACTTAGTAATAAGCAATATTATGAAATGTAATTATGATAGTAACAGAAAGCTCCTCCATATATTAGTGGACTGTTAGTAGTAGCAATAATCAACCAAGTAAATAGTATTCCAGCTCCATGGTAGCCTCATCCTCACTCCTATTGATGCTCTCCTCACCATCAATGCTCTCCTCCCCCTCTTCAATGCTGCTCCTGCTCTCTTCCTCCTTGTTGATGTGTCCAAATGACCATATATTGTTGCCGTAGTCCTGAAGGCTTTCCTAATGATGGATGAATCCAAGCTCTTCATCTTCCCTCTCCATGAAAGCATTCAAGATCTGATTGATGCCAATGGTATCTGCCTTATAGTTGCAGAGAAGATCTGTTACATTCATTACAATCTTCTGGTTCCAGGAAGATTCTTCTCATTGGCTTCTCTTTTCTTCATTCCTTTGGGCTTCCCCTCCAGAGTGAGGATTTGCTCTCTGATCTCCCCTGTCTCACCAACAACTGTATACTTGTCAAATATTGGGTTGAAGAGGTCAAGCACCAGCTCCCTGAAGACCTTGAAGTTTACACCAAAACAATTTACAAAGATCCTGGTGATAACTTCCTGATTCAAGTAGTAGTAAGCCAGGGGGAGCCAGCAGCATATTAAATGTCTGTGTGGCCAATTTTTGCTGTTTTCAGAGACTGACTGTGATATAACATATGCCAGATTTTTATCAAAAAACAACTGTAGACCACCAGACCAAGTGCCCAACCCAAGTTGATACAATTACCTAAAGGTTGGTGGCATTGGGAAGCCAAAGGATGCTGTGAGGCTCCTTAGACTAGAACAGGTCTGACAAAGTTACATTACTAGTGGACAATGGTCAAATTTTGCGGTAATTTTGGGTGTAATTTTATAGCCAATTGACTGCTGGAACTTGGTTTGGAATTGAAGCAAGTCATAACTTTGAATTGAAGCAAGCCCCAACTCCAACTGTTCCCCAGACTTTGAAGCAGTTCTTCTTCCTATGCGGAAAGGCAATTGCAATATGCAAATATCAACATATTAGCCAGTGCCAGGGTCTGTGTTTGTTCTGCTGGAAGTATTTTTGTTAACCTTACTGATTTGAAAGAAGGTTTCAAGAAGTTCTAGAACAACAACAAGAAGGTCCTCCATTGTTTTTGTACCACTATGTGATTGCTTTGGTGTTAGTATCTACTACTACTACTAGTAAAATGGTGAATTTGTGCGTTTTTGCCTTGCCTTTGGTTTCAATTTGTTGTTGGTAGTGGCAGCTGTGGGGGCACCATGCAAACTAAAGTGGAAATGGACAGGTTGGAAGGATGAGGTACTGTATGGTAGGAGGAAAAACCTGTACCAAACCATGGTTGGAAATCACTCTTTGGACGCTAACAAAAAGCATGGCGTGATAGGATCAGGCTATTGTACAATTTGGATGGAGGAGGAGTAAATCAGGTCACTCAATTGTCTTTTTTGTTGTGTATTGGCTGATGAGCATAGGCTGTAAGTCTGTTGTTGTTGCTCGTAACCCGCAAAATGCATGCACATGTGCTCTTTAGTGTCGTATAACTAGTATATGTTTACAATAAATAGTGAGCTTGTTCACTAGTGTCTACTCATGATTTAGGCTCACATGATTTGAGCATCAAATTCAGAGCCAGCTCAGACATTTCTGACCTCTTTCTGAGCCCAAATCACATTCAAAATCCTAACAAAAGCTAGACAAGACTGAATCAGGCTTCCTAAAAGAAATACACTTGCACACCAGAGTGGGATATCCAATCAAAGKGCTGATTGAACTTCAATCTGGCATCATGAGTTCCCCTCAAGCACCTACTTGTGGCTCTTGCAAGGGCAAATCCAATTCTTGATCTAACCAATCCACAAACTTGAGAGCAGAGAAAGGGGCATATTCCAGTGGACATGCAGCTTGTTGTTAATGTAGTAATTGGCCACTCAGCTAGAATATGCTTGTTGTTGCATTCAGGCAAGTACAGCAAAAACAGGAGCACCCAGCACCCAAGCACCAGCTGCAGCCTTCCCCCCCAGCAGGGAGTCTAGTAGAGCATGTCCTTAAATTCTGTGCAATCACAGCAAGGAAGGGGCTTGCACCTCTTTTCCCCCCTCCCTATTGCATTGTTGTTGTTCATAGCCTACCAACTAACACTGAGTAGAGTTTCCAGGTCCTCTCTAATACAGTTCCACTCGCAGCCACTTGAACTGGCTTGATCCCAGTGTGGTACTACTATTACTCTATAAGTACTAGTGGTAGTAGTGGTAGTGGTAGTGGTAGTGGTAGTGGTAGTGGTAGTGGTAGTGGTAGTGGTAGTGGTAGTGGTAGTGGTAGTGGTAGTGGTAGTAGTAGTAGTAGTAGTAGTAGTAGTAGTAGTAGTAGTAGAGACAAGGGTGGTATTTTGCTACTACTAGTAGTGTCAGTACCAGGAGCTATTTTTGCTGTAAACTTCTTAACAGAGGTAGTAGTAGTAGTACATCAGATGCTACTACACTAATGAATGTTGGGTGTCTCTTAACACTTTCATTGCAGGGATAAGAACCTCACAGAAGGGGGAGTATTCTAGCAAAAAAAAGCAGTCTACAAACACTGGTTCCTCTTTTTCTTGAAGATTAAGAAGTGGTATGACCAGTATCAGCCATGGAGAACAAGAACAAGTGCTGCTGCTTCATGTTCCAGTTTTTTCTTGTTACTTCCCGGTGTGAATACCTATCGTACTACTACTAGAACGGTTTGAATGGTAGCCATCATTGCTTCTAAGATATATATCAAAACGACTACTATCACCAGATTATTTCTTCACACAAGAACTGGAATTATCATATATTGAGTCAACGCCAACAAGATTATGTTGTCCCCTCTGAACTCAGATGCAATAAATGAATCAAATGCAATGGCCTCTTGAAGTTGTATGTATTTGGTTGACAGACGATTAGAAATCAAGCGATCGTTGCTGATAGCATTCGCGGTGGTACCAAAGTGACTAGTAGATTGTCTAGCATGTAATTTTCGTAACGATGGATTTTTTGGATCCATGTCACGCACCCAATTTAGAATGGATTACTTCATTCTATAGATAGAGCTCTCTTAAAAGTCGCAAACCGTCGATCCTTTCGAATCGGAGTGCGCGACCGGGGATTGCTTGACTGGGGAGGAGGCACGCTTCTTGAACGACATTCTCTTCGAGAACTTTCTTCCCAATCGAGAAAGTGATTTTTTCATCTTCTTTTCAGGCGAAGGAGTAACTACGGACAGAGTTGTTGTGTTTCCTGTTGACTGCTCGTCAAACAACTCGGTGATCGATGAAGAGGTCGATTTTGGCGTCTTGGGCTGCCAAATCTTTTGTTTCTCAAAAGTGATCTTGCGCTGAAGGACACACTCGAAACCACTTTGGTCTTCGCATTCCTCTTCCCTGTTGGATTCTGCTTTTTTCATTATGGATTGGATCGAACGCATCTTAAATGGCTTCGATAAACTCGACCGGTCCTCCCGGTCATCTTCGATCACGGCAGGTTCCTGTGCACTCGAGGTATCTTCGACTGAAGGATTCGACGAGTCCATCGAATTGATTACTGAAGGAAGAGTTGTCATTGCGGAGTCGCACATGTTACCATCGATTTCGCTTTTTTCATTTTCGTTTTCTTCTTTGACTGTCTCGGTGCTACTGGATATCACAGTTTCCTTCACTGAAGCACCGCTGTTATCCGCGCTCTCTTTTTCTTCGCTAGAATTCTTTCTGTCGTCGGGCTTCGTGTTCGAAGGGAGAACAGCAGGGACGATGTGGCATTTGCTATCATCTTTTTCATCTTTTGCTTCATCTTCGTTCTCCAAGATTGTCTCAATTCTCTTCGTGTTTTTGAGTTTCTGGTGTCCTTCCTCTGTTACGGAAGGGGAAGTACTGGTTTCAAGCATAGAAGCTGAGTACTGGTTTGGCTGAGACCTGCTGTCCAAGCTCGCGCTTTCATCGAACAGGCTGTCTACCTTGGTCCCATCGACACTGATGCTGGTTACATCCTCTTCCGCTACAATCGCGTCGTCCTTGTCTCCACACAGCGCATAACCGGTTGTTTTTTCCATCCAGTCCGTAACCTCGCAGGTGCAGAGTTTTCTGTCGGCTCTGCACATAATTTTCTCAATCATGTCGTCAGATACCATGGAGGTGTCGAGGCACTTGTCCATGGCTGTGTCACAACATTGTTTGTTTTCGTTTTCGAGCATGATTTTGAGTTCGGCTTCGTCGTCGATTGGATTGAGACCTACTTCGTCGTGCTCGAGAAAGAGTTCGGAGTCGTCCTTTTCTTCTGTGTTAACAACATTAGGCACCCCGTCGATTGAGATGATCGCCGCGTTCACTACAACCTCCGTAGGCGCCATTCCTGGTTTCCCAACATATGGCGCCGGTTCTTCCAGTTCCAGATTATCAAGTATTGTGTTACTCATTTTACCGGATCCTTCGTGATCGTCTGGAGATGGCCCATCGATGGTGCTCGTCGCAGAGCCGATTGTAATTTCAGCGGGTGCAATTTCCATGCTTTCAGTTTAATAACGTAGCTGTACCTTTGGTTTCCGAATGGTTTTGGACTGGAATGTTTGAATCTTTTCAGAGGTACGAGTATTACACAAAACCTTCGAATCGTTCACTTGTTTGGTAAAGAGCTTACAACATGCGCATAGTTCTTGTAACGCTCAACGATGATCGACAGCCAAAAATACTTGGTAATCACGGTGAAATTGATGGCGAAATTTTCGAAATTTTGGCTTTCGGACCGTCTTGGGCAAGGCAGGGCATCCCAACCGAAAAGAAACAGTGCGCGTGCCTGTTCATTCGAAAGGTGACGTCGTACAACTTAAAATCTAGTACATATCCACCATGGAAGGGCCTAATGATTAGAACCAGATACAGGAATTTAAGTCCCGGGAGTTAACAAGTAATGCCAATGAATTGGCGGGAAAATGAATTCGATTATCAACGAAAACTCATGCTGAACATCTGATACAATGGAACACTCATTACTTGTGTTGGTACGGTACGTACTCGTACCATGGTAAACGCTTTTTGTCAGATTTTTGGCGCGCAGTTCCTTTTGGAATAAGGAATCCTATGAGGAGATACTGTAGCGTTACTATTACGGTCATAATTACATTGTTTTCCCTGTTCGTCTGGAACGTTCCCGTTGGCATTTGTTTGTGATCTTCATTCCCAATTCAAAAACTCTACCCAAAATCTGAGTTGTGTCCGGTAAGTACGAGTACTCGTACGCTGCGATTTACATGTTCTATATATTTTGTGGAAGGAATTCTACTGTTCAACCGTATTAGCTCTTCTGTTTTGGTTGCTTCCGTACCTATTCTGGTTGCGAAATAGAGTCAAATTTGTATGTAAAATGCAACCATTTTGCAACTCCCACTCAAATATTCACTCCCGCACTGTGAAGTATTGAGCCGACGAAGACTCAGATTTTTCTTTGCACTACTATTCAGTTCTTCTTTGCTCACAAAATGAAGCTCCTAGTAATAAGCAAATCAGCAAGCAACTACTAGTAAGCAAATGCACCATGGCAGCAGCAGCAACAGGAGCAAGGCGCTGTAAGGCTTGCAAACCCCCCAAGAGACGTGACAAATCAACAGCAATGGCATCAGTAGTACCACTGGAACAACGACAATCGGACAGGCCTCTTTCAAAGAGGGAATTTTTGCAAGCCCTTGAATTGATACGACTACTACTAGTAGTAGGGGATGAAAGAAGAACAAACAGACTGATCAATCAGTTGGGATCCATCAAAATTTAGCCTTCAATGACTGCCGGCGTCGATGGGGTCCAACGCCGAGGTCCCGTGTCTTAATTTCCTTACTACTTGTCCCCCTAATACAATCCAAAAATCATAAAAATAGTACTGTGTATATGTTAACTGTTACTAGTGGGTTTTGCTAGTAGCCTCAACAAGAGGTCCATCTTAATAGCTGACAGGAGTGTTGGTATCAGTGTTGTTGGTGTTGTCAGCGGTGTATTTGTTGAGAGTTTATTCTCCCAGCTTGTTTTATTTTTCATAGAATTTGCCTTGTGCGTGACAGTGTGAGTACTTCTCATCAATCACCCTGATACAGCACGCACCACGCACTGGCTTTGTGCACCTAGTACACACTACATTATGTACTACATCCTACATGGTTGCAAAATTAGTTTCATTTTGCACATTTTCTTTCTGTACTGGACGAGTACGCTACATAACAGTACCCGGTACTTGTACAAATTTTGGTTGTGAAAAACTGAAGTGCTGTAATAGTCCCAACCTGGTACAAATTCTACTGGAATCTACCATGCATGAATGATTGCAGTATTCTAATTTTGTACTAACCCCTTTTCTCTGGACTGAATTTTGAAATTAAAAATTGTTATTCAAAAAGTCTTGGCTTCAAACTACTATTACTAGCACTACTAGTAGTAGTAGAATTACATGAATTTAATTTGTAGTATTACTAGTAGTAGTAATACTCCTCTACTTAGGTAGCATGAGCAGTAGTAGTACTTTAGTAGGAAGGAGACTTTCTGGTTGTGGGACTTGTACTACTATTAGTACTAGTAGTAGTACTAGTAGTAGTACTCAAAATAGTACTACCACTTGCACTTCTAGTACTACTAACTAGTAACTGTTACAGCCACTCTGCCAAGCTGATTATACAGGGCAAAGCCTCAACAGAATCATGATGTTCTGTCTTGCTTTTGCAGGAGGGGGGTGTTGCGCAGCAGGAGGGAGATCCCCTTTCAATGATCCTCTGTGGTGGTCTGGCCCTTGTTCCGCTCACAAAACACCTGCAGGAAGCTTTCCTGGAGGTCGTCGGCAGTGCTGTGTGTCTCTAAAATTGCTAGCACCATGCAATTGCTCCTGGTGAAGCTCAAACCAAAATGGGGTATTTGTCCAAACTGACAAAAAGCAGTTTTGTCAGGCTACCTCCCATCCAGAACAGGTGTCATCAAATTCTCCAGTAATTTGATTTTGTCTTCCAAGATGAGCATTGTGACATTGGGGGTTTTATCAGCACTGATGCAGTCAAAGATGAGTGGCTCACCAAGGAAGCTGCAGGCTGATCAGTGGGTTGAAAGCATCTCCCTTTTTGCTGGGGCATCTTCTTGCGGTTACCCCCAACAAGAAGCAGCTTTTGCAGGCTTGACCAAATCCCTCAAAACTGAATGGACCTAGTACCTCCACAATGTTGTTCCAGATGTGAGGATCCATAGCCTTTGTTGCCTTTAAATGGCCCTGGCGGAGGAATTTCTGCCCATCATGCTGGGCAATTCTATTGACAACTCTGCCAATCTCTGCAATTTGCTGGCCTTTCCAGTCAAATTTTCCAGCGTTGGAGTACCAGATCAAACAGTTCAAACTAAGGGACAGTTCACAGAAGCTTTGAAACAGAGTGCTGTGACTGACAAACCATGATGCATCCCAAAATGTCAGCCACCACCTGTGAATCAAAAGCCATTTTGAAGAGGTTTCTAGCTGTATGGGGGAGTCAGGATTTCTTAGTGGCATTTATTGATATATATGTATGTATATCTAGCATTGCTAATGTACAAATGGCACATCTGGAATCTGTCTGCCAACGCTATCGTCTAGTGTTAGCCAGGCAATTTATGATTTGCGCATTGATTTTGGGCTATCTTTTTCCCAAGTAAAGTATGTTGAGTGCATCAACAGACATGATGAAATCTTGTCCAACAACACCATTTTTTCCTATGGAATTTTTGTCTTCATGACAATCAATGTGTCAGAAATTCATTCTCAATGAACATATTTACCTTAATCCAACAATGATGCACCAATACGGCTCCTTCATGATGTTGCTACCAACTACTAGTAGGCAAATCAGTGTCGATTGTCAGGCACAGAGGAGTCCTCACCACCACCTGCTGAAGCTTCCTTAATGCAAGTGGATGCACATCTTGTTCCAACAACTGGCACCAAATCAGCCCCCATCCCCCACAATATTAGCAGCATCACTAATTAGCAACACTTTGTCCCAAGTAACACTCCCATCCACAACAGTATATTAGCAACACTAATCAGCTATTGATGTCAGCTATCAAGGATAACAAATTGACACAACCTATCAATACTAGATCAACAACCACAACACATCAATGACACCCATCAGTAGCACTAATCAACAACAGTTTTTCTCCAGCGACAGCAAGAGATTTTCCCCAGCAACACTCATATCCACAATGGTATCAGCAGGACTAAGCAGCTATAGATGCCAGCTACAGCAACCAATAAAGGAATAAAAGAATCAACAATGATAACAGCAGCAGCAACAGCAGCAACAACAACAACAACAACAACAA